ATTAATTAATAATTTAATACATAAAAAACTCTATTAGCTAAAAACAATTTAGCAATTAAAAATCCAGTAATTCCTAAAGATTGGAAAACTCATAGAAATTCAGTGGCCATTGTGTTATTTTACTATCATTAATATATTATTATAGTTTTTGTTAATATTTTAAATTGATTTTATTTTTATATTTTCTATATATTTCTATATTTTTTAAATAAATAATTGTTTTCATCTTTCATTTTATTAAAAGTCTTAGTAATTTTGTTGTGTTTTTAATCATTCAAATAATTCACTTTTTTACGTGTATATTTTATGTGCGTTTTAGTTTTTAGTTTTAATTTATTTATTTTTAGTTATTTTAGTACCTCAACTTGTACTAAACAAAAAATAGAAATGTTGTCTTGGAAACTAGCTGAAATTTTATTTATTTATTAAAAAAAAATTATAAACAGTTTTTATATGTGTATATTTTATTGTATTTCAATTATTTCAAGTAATATTTGTGTTTCCTTTTTTATGGTTTTAGTTAATGATAATAACCTCAGTCATACGGTGTCTGGTGTCTATTCTCTTTTTGCATCAAATTCTGGTGAATTTAAGATTGTGGTTTCACATCTAAACATCCATAACCAATTCTTCTCTTATATCCGATTTCTTTAATCATTGGCTACACTTAACATGCAGCCGTATAATGCGATCAGAGCTGTACTGTGATTAAGCTGGAGCTCATGTAAACAGAATACCATGATTGTTAATGTCTTTATGCTCATAATGAGCACAGTAATCATAATCACAGTGAGATATGTGTACTGTGGTTTTAATCACGCTATTGGTGTTTTAATCGTATTTCTTACACAAGTGCTGCAGATGGATGGTGTGTTGCTCATGGAGGGAGTTGCATTATGAGCGATTTATGTAGCTGTTTATTTTAGAAATGTCATCCCTCGTATTACCTATTACTGTAATCTGTCATAGGATTTCATAGCAGCCTGTTTTATGAGCCGCACTGGATGACAAAGGCGCCAGACAAGAGAACTTGGACCAAACATCATTCACATTTGTTTTAAGCATAAATTTATGCATTTTTCAGAAAACAAAACATAATATAATTTTGCTTCTCAAGTGAAAGGAGTAGTTCACCCAAAAATGAAAATTTACTGAAAATGTAGTCACCATCAGGACATCCAAGATGTTGATGAGTTTGTTTCTTCATCAGATTTGGAGAAATGTAGCATTCCATCACTTGCTCACCAATGGATCCTCTGCAGTGAATGGGTGCCGTCAGAATGAGAGTCCAAACAGCTGATACAAACATCACCATAATCCACAAGTAATCCACACCACTCCAGTCCATCAGTTAACATCTTGTGAAGAGAAAAGATGTGTGTAAGAAACAAATCCATCATTAAGACGTTTTAACGTCAAACAGTTGCTTCCAGCTAAAATGTAATTCCATAATCCATAATAACACTTCTTCCAATGAAAAAGTCTTTGTGTCTCCTGTTGTCTCTCACATCAAAATCCACACACATATATGTTTTGACCGTTTTGGGTTGTTTTCAAATCTGCAGATTTCTCTCCTGATTCAGACAAGATGAATAAAGCATTATTATGGATTATGGGCTTGTATTTTAGCTGGAAGCAACGGTTTGAAGTTAAAATCATAATCATAGATTTGTTTCTTACAAACACGTTGTTTTGTACTTCACAAGAGATTAATTGATGTACCTGGAGTGATGTGGATTACTTGTGGGTTATTGTGATTTTTATCAGCTGTTTGGACTCTCATTCTGACGGCACCCATTCACTGTGAGCAAGTGATGGAATGCTACATTTCTCCAAATCCGATGAAGAAACAAACTCATCCTAATCTTGGATGACCTGAGGATGAGAAAATTTTCAACAAATGTCCATTGTGGGGTGAACTGTTCCTTTCAAAGTGAATTCAAATTGAAAAATGCATGTTCTGATAAAGTATACACCTTGAATACAATGCAAATTGCTGGATACCAGCATCTGCCAAATGCGTAAATTCAAATGTATTTGCATTCACTTTTTATGATGAATATCATTTGCGTTTTTCTGCGTGTGATTCACAATAATTTCTTAAAAGCTGTAAATGGAAAACTCCACTTTTGTAGGGATGAATAAACGTCACCGTCTAACCTTCAGAGCCAAAAGTACTGACGTTCCCTGAACAAACAAACGTCTTTGTTGATTTGATTTTTATTGTCATCACTCTCAGTTTGGAGGACGGTAAAAGCTCAAACGCTGACTCACGCTTGAATGTTTTGCGTTAATTAATACGATTGAAGGCAAATTAGTTTATGCTTCTTTTCATATCCCTCCGTTTTGCAAATTAACGCATCACAGCGGAACACTTGGAGACCAGAAAATCAATGAATACATATTTAAAAATCCATTTTCAGCCTTAACACATTCGCGTTTATTCTATCCCTGTTCCACCCGGCGGCCAAATCAATGATGTTTTAGCATCCTGAAGCAGCTGCTGCTGTCCTGCCTGCTGGAATAGATTGTGTTTCTTCCCTTCCTGCTGGATGTGCTATCACCTTCTTTGCTTTTCATGCGTTTTTTGGGAACAGAAGTTCATACGTTTCAAAAACCAGCATCTGACCTCTGTAAGGTTCTGGAGGATTCCACCAGCCCAAAAATCATTGCTTAGAATTCTAAATTTAGGATTTGTGTTGCATATAACATTTTTGGATTACACAGTTTTAACATGATCTAATAAACTTAATGTGATTCATTTTTGTCAGTCATACATAAATGAAACTGGTCAGATTTTTTAGTTGCACTAACAAGCTGAATGTGTTTTAAATGCACAATAAACAGTTTTATATATTCATCTTCAATAAATCCAATTTATTTTGATCTTATGTATTTTTAACTAATTAAATACTATGCCACAATTTTTGTTTCATTTATGTATGATTGACATATACAGTATGTATCACCTTAAGTGATAAGTCTGTTATTTTAAAGGCTGTGTAATGCAGTGTTATTTTTTTTAGTATATTAACCTTTAATAGTTTTAGTTTGGATAATGTGTGATTTCATCCACACACACACACACACACACACACATATATATATATATATATATATATATATATATATTATACATTACACAGTGTAATCCAAAATGGGTAGAAATTCTATATGCAATTCATATACATACATTTAAATTTAGAGTGTAAGAAGTAAAGCTACAAATGTTTTTCATTTGAAGTCGTCACATTAAACTGGAATAAAGATAAAGTATTTTAACAATGAAAAATTGCACACCTCTAAGGAGTTAGATCGAAATTACATCAGCTTTAAGGATCAGCTCTTTCTTGTCTCTTGTAATATTTCTTCTCATAATCAAGGCCATCTCACCGTATCTCGATGGTAGTGAGGTGCTGATGGAGGAAAAAGAGGTAGAGAGATTGAAAGAGACCTATAGAGAAGACCTTCAGACGTCTCCTCGCTGCAGGTTCTCTTCAGTCTTTCTGTGTAAAATCTCAGTATTTTTGTGGCCCAGGGTGCCGTCGCATCTCTGAAAACACGACAAAGTGTACTCCTTAATAATGATGATAGCTGGAGCACGGAGAGGACATTTGCTGGGAATCTCAGCGTGAAGCCACTGGTCCTCTGACAGATCCAGTGGGACTCGATGTCCAAAGCAATTTGGCCCTTGATGAGTGAGTCAGAGAAACCTCCTCCTGTTGTGGAAATGGACCGATCAGGGGGCGACGCAATGACTTTTATAAACGTGATATCCAATTATGGATCAGCAGTACATTTTGATCGGGTGTTAGGAATTAAATTGTGTTGGATTGGACACTTACAGACTCGTACTAGAATTTGTGCCTTTGACTGGAAGAAAAACTCATTCAGGAGAGCAGCACGAGTCGTCTTCAGCAGATCAGACATTTACTGGTGTGGAAAGAGTAAGGTGGTCCTAAATAATTATTATATTGATATATTTTGAACATGGTTCTACCCAGGGTTATTACAGTAAAACTAAAACTATTATATATATAAATATATATATATATATATATTGCTTTATATCGGCCACCCTGCTCTCCCTCTATAGGACTAATTGTGAATTTACAGCTTAAAAAATAATTGACTTTATATTTTA